ATTTCCCTGCAGAAGCTTCACTTTGACAACTGCTCACAGATGAGAGAGCAAAACAACACAACGTCACATCACACCTGTTAGGATGGCTATTATCAAAAAGCCAAAGGATAATGCATGTTGGTGAGGACGTGGAGAAAAGGAAACTTTGTACGCTAATGGTGGGAATGTGAATTGGTACAGCCATTATGGAAAACAGTGTGGAGGTTTCTCGAAAAATTAAAAATAGAATTATCACTTCCAAAGGAAATAAAATCACTGTAACAGAGATATCTGCGCTCACGTTCATTGCAGCATTATTCACAGTAGCCAAGATATGGAAACAACCTAAGTGTCCATTGACAGATGAATGAACAAAATGAGATATATACATGCAGATAGATAGATAGACACTTGTACATACATATGCACACACACACACAAAGGAATATTTTTTTTTTCCTTTTTGTCTTTTTTCGTGACCAGCAACGGATCGCAACCCTCGGTGTTGCGCCCGCACCTCGCTCAGCCAGTGAGCGGCTGGTCTGTATGTGGCATCCAAACCCTCGGCGGGAGTGCTGCCGCACTCCCAAGTGGCGCACTGTAGCAGTGCGCCACTGGGCCGGCCCCACACAAAGGAATATTATTATTTTTATTTTTATTTTTTGTCTTTTGTCCTTTTCCGCGTCCGGCAACGGATTGCAACCCTCAGTGTTGCCCCGTACCGGACCGGGGACCGGCAACGGGATCGCAACCCCCGGTGCCGCCCCTGCGCCTCGCTCAGCCAGTGAGCGGGAACCAGTCTGCATGTGGGATCTGAACCCTCGGGCGGGAGCACCGCCACGCTTCCCAAGCGGCGCACTTATCCAGCCTTAAAAAAAAAAGGAAATCTTGCTATTTTTGATAACATGGATGGACTTGGAGGACATCATGCTAAATGAAGTAAGCCAGACATCGGAGAGAGAAATACTACATGAGCTCACTTATATGTGGAATCTAAAAAANTTTCAGTAATAAGTTGAGTAAGTTCTGGCTACCCAAGGTACAACATGGTGAATATAGTTAAGATTAATGTGCTGTATACTTAAGATTTGCTAAGAGAGTAGATCTTAAGATCTTAAGTACTGTATTGTCATCACATTGAGGTGATGAGTATGTTCATTACTTGATTGTGGTAATTATTCACAATGTATTTGATGTATATCAAAACATCATGTTGTATAAGTTAAATATATCATTTCAATTTGCCCATTGTACCTCAATAAAGCTGGAAAAAAATAATTTATTACTTTATATTATTTTGAAGAAAAAATAAAGACATTCCCAGAAATAAAGAAATTAAATAAATAAATAAAAATTGCTTTTAATAATCAAGACTGCAGGTGCTCAGCACCTACACTCTCCACAGCCAGTTCTTTGACTTGTGGTCCACCTCCCTGCAATGGAATAAAGTAGAGTTTATTGGCTGGCCAGTGAGCTCAGTTGGGTAGAACATGGTGCTGACGACACCAAGGTCCAGGGTTCAATCCCTGTACCAGCCAGCGGCCAAAATAAAATAAAGTAGAGGTATTAAACCCATTGCACTCTAAAAAATTATTGAGAACTCCAAAGAGCATTTTTTTTTTTTTTTGGTGGGTTATACACCAGTACTTCAAAAAGTTCATGGAAAAATAGAAT